AGGCAGGCAGGCAGGCAGGAAGGAAGGCAGGCAGGCAGGAAGGAAGCAGGGCAGAGATGTAGCTCAGTGCTCCCTAGGTTCACCTGCAGTAATGGGAGAAAATGAAGCTAAGGTTCCTATTTCCAAGGCACAGTACACACATTCCACTGAATGCAGCCATGAAACTGGACAGAGAAGCTCAGGGAGCAGCCTGGAGATTCTGATAAATGAACAGCAGCAGGAAGACTTGGGAAGCAGACCAGAATGTGAAGTCCTACCAGACAGGAGTCACCATCTGTCACCATCTGTCCCCCTCTGTCCTCCCACTGCTTGGTCCTGGACATGGGGCCAGTGTCAGGGAGTGTGTAGCAGGGTCAGATTACTAAAGTTTCATGTTTCTGGTTTGAAGATCACAAAAAGGGGATTCCTAAAGGACCAGAAATGAGTGGTGAGATCATGAACAGGAGCTCAGGCAAGCAATGTCAGTCCACTTATAAACTGCAAGGCTCAGCCTCTACCTGCCCCTGTGCAGCTCTCGTCCTGAACAGTACATGAAGATGGGCAGGTGAACTAACACAAAACGACTCTCAGTCCTACACTCACCCTGGGTGGCCATTAGTGGGACTATCTAAATAGCTAGGCAAAGGCTTTGAAAACTGATCCTCCAGTGGCACCACAGCACGTGGGTGACAAGTCAGAACAGGCAGCCAGAGCCTTGCTAGGTGGACTGCCCACTAGAACAGAAATCTCAACATTTTACTGAAATTTTTAAACAAGACTCAGACTCTCATAATATTGAAATTGTCCAGTAAACAACCCCAAAGTACTAGATATGCGAAGAAATAGGAAAATCTCAACTTGCAAGGGAAAAGGCAATCTAAAGACGCCAATGCTAAGATGATACAAATAGTGGTATGTTCTGACAAAGACTTTAAAATAGCATCTATAAAATGTTTCAATGTGTTTATTATATGTATATGTTACTGAGACTGCAGGTGAATCAATCAAATCAACTATTCTTTAACAGTTTTTAAACAAACCATAATCAGTTACTGCTTCATTAAAATGTCAAAATATGGGGAAAATATGGGTGAACTAAAAGACAAAAACATTTTACATTTTCCTATTATGAGAGACAAGCATGAAGCAGAATAACATGGAGGTGGGTGGTGATGAGCAGCAAGAGAGTCAGCTGGTAGCAATGATCTTCTCTAGGGAGGGTGTGTGTGAGAAAACAGCTACCACTGATTTTTAAAGATATTAATCAGAGCAGGGACTGTAGCTCAGTAGTAGAACATCTGCCTTGCATGTGTGAAGCCTTGGGTTTGATCCCCAGGACTACAATAAAATAAAATTAAACTACATTTTGTGCAGCTTAGGGAAAATAAATGTAATTCAAGCTCCAGCCATCTATGGCAACAGTATCTGGTTAAGTAATGTGCAGCTGGATTCAAGTGCTGTGTGTAAAAACATGAAAGCACTAAAATTATAGGAAAATAGAGATAAACATTTGAATAATCTTGGACTGAGGAAAGCTCATCTGAGATGTTAAGGGACTGCAGTACGGGCACAGCCATCTGGAAGCAGCCAGAGCACGGCCACATATGGCTCATGGTGGAGATCAGGGCCAGACGTGCTGGAGGGCAGTGTGACAAAGCAACCTAAAGCAAAATGGAACACCTTTGCCCAGTGATCCCACACCTGAAAATCTTCCCCACAAGAACACATGTACCAGTACATCAGGGCAAATGTGTGATGCTCAGCGGGGAATGACTTTCAGAAGGTGGCTGCACAAAATGCAGAGCACACACTGGCAAGAGCACAATGTGGCCGGCAGATGATCTGCGGGATTCCCACCAGCCAGGGCTTGTGGAGAAAGGCAAGAGACAGAGAAAGGAGACTCTAATTCTGAAAGTAACACGTTCAAAGTCATTACATGTCTGTGTTCATATGTATGGACACATATGGGCCTGTGTGGGAGTTTATTATAAGTCTGGAGCAAAATACAGATGTACACACTTTAGGTTGCTACCATGGGCATTAGGATTAAGGACAGGGCTGAGACAGTGGGTGTGGAAGGGTGTCTAAAACAAAACAGCAGCCACAACGCCATCCCATTCATGCCAATGTGTGCACAGGTGTGTGTGGGTCCACATAAAGGGGTAAATCAGAGGATGGGCACCAAATGCTAGTGGTGGTTCCCACAGGGCTACAGTTTCCTAAGGCTTTTGCTGTATTTACTTTTGTCCACTGTTTGAATTCTTTTGAATGATCATATATGCACATATAGATGTATGTCAATATATACATATTTTTTGCAGTGCTTAGCATCAAATCCAAGCCCTTACACATGCTAGACAAGAGCTCTACCACTTAGCTACATCCCCGGCTCTGATTAAATATTATTTACATAATAAAAATGTCATTTAAGTATGGTAAAAACAATGTATATTTTAAAAGGCAAAAGAAAATTGTGAAGAAAAATATTTCAGCTTTTTATTGAGGGATAATCTACTATATGAAGAGCTTTCCTAAATTAGTAGGAAAAAAATCCTCCAGAAAAATGGGTAAACATCATAAGCAGGTAATTCATAGAATAATTATTTAATGTAGTAAACGTCAACAAATATTTATTTATTTATTTACTTTTTTTATGTAGTTGAGTCTGGCATTGAACTCACTATGTAGCCTAGGCTAGCCTTGAGCTCATGGCAATCCTCCTGCCTCAGCCTCCTGAGTACTAGGATTACAGGCATGTGCCACCATGCCTAACTCAACAAATTTTTAAAGGAATGGAAATTTAAAAAAGAGTCAGGAAATAGTAATCAAAATAGAGACTTGTGATTACAAGGATTAGGAAACCAAGCATTTCACACACTACGTGGTGGAAATGTAATTTTTTTCCTCTGGAGGACAAACTGACAATGTAAAACCTTAAAAATACATATAGGCTTAGACTCTGAAATTCCATCTCTAGGAATTTATGCTATGGGAAATAGACCAAAACATATGCACAAGTATGTGTATGGCATCTCACTATAAAATATGTAAAGCTGAAAGCAACCTCAAGGAGCATCCATAGGGTCAGCTGTGATGTGGATGCGACATAGCTGCTGATAGGACAGCACAGACTCCAGGTAAAGGAGGTGGCTGAATGTACACGTATTTACACTTCCTTTTTAAAACATCCAAATGAAATAACAGAAAAGTAAACAAGTAAAACTAACACATGACTAAAAATCTAAAAGTGCTGCCCGCAAATCAGTGCTGTGGGAAACTTCCAGAAGAGAATAAAGTACAAGAGACGAACCTAGATGTGCAGTGGGAAACAGAAACTCATAACCCCGACGGGCAAAACCAAGGTCCTCCACAAAGGGTGAGTTTTCCCAGCAGACTTTCTGAACAACTCCTGGGGCAGAAGCAGCATCAGTTCAGAGGGAGGCACAGTGGGTATGGTTGGCTGAGACATTAACCAGAGGGCATGGAGAAGCCTCACCTGCTCCAGAGGCGCAGCATTCCAGCTCAGATTGAGTTGGTCGGGCAGTTACCTACTGAGCGTGATTATGACTCAGCCAGCCAGGCCTAGCCCACAGAAGAGCTCTCTAAACTGGGACGTCCAAGTCACCCCTCAAAGAACCAGCTCGAGACTGGAGTGTGGGCATGCTGCACCCACACTCCCACCTGTGCCAGCCCCTTTCTCAAGGCAGGGAACAGGTGCCCCTCCACTGTAAGCACTGGGTGCACTGAATATACAGATGCCCGGATGAAGGCACTGGCTACTATGGACCAGTGGGACAGACAGATGTGAGGAAGGGAAGGGAAAGACAATTTACATTTTCTTGTCCATAAACACACATTTCTTGAATTTCTTTACCACAAACACATATTCATAGTTATATAATCACGAAGCATATATTTGAGTAATCTACATATTTAATTCACACATTTAAATCTAAATATACTCAGATCACTAGTGATGTATAATGATACCAAGAGATGTTAAAATCAAAAAATTAAAAACAAGATGGTATTTTATGAAAATGTGCTTAGCAAATAGTATGAAGATAGACACAGGATGGATGTCAACTACAGTTGGTTCTACACGGTGGAATAACAGTGGCTCTTGTTAGTTTACATTTCTTTTCCGTACTTAAGGAACTTTTCTGTAATGAGAAATGAGTAGCGAATCTTCTTTACATCAGAAATATAAAGTCATCTACAAGGTAGCTGTTTTAAATATTACTAAAGGTGCATAATAGGGCCAGGTGTGGTGGCACACATCTGTAATCCCAGCACTTGAGAGCCTGAGGCAGGAGGATCACCACAAGTTGGAGGCCTGCCTGGGCTACCTAGTGAATGCAAGGCCAGCCTGACTTAACCAGCGAGACCCTGTCTCAAAAAAAACAAAAAACAGGGCCGGAGATTTAGCTCAATGGTGCCGCCGCCTGCCTTGCAAGTGCAAGGTCCTGAGTTTGATCCCTGGTACCAAAAAAACCTCCCAAAACAACAACAACAAAAAAACACAAAAAACAAAACAAAACAACAACAACAAAAAGAAACTAAACTAAAGGTGCATCATAAACTCAGGGGCATTTAGGACTTCTTTAATGGGAAATAGTACTCAACAACCAAAAAAATGGGAGTGGTCATCAGAGTTACTTCTGGAAATCAGAAGTCACCTGGCCAGCACAAATCTGAAAAGGAAGATGGGGAGGGGAAGGAGGGTCCTTTTTGCCTTCAGTACTAGAGTCCCTGGATTGGGGGAGGGTCCCCTTACTAACTCAGCACTTCAGAGTCTTGTCCCCAGAATACAGAAGTGCAAGCAGAAGGTTGGGGGATGAATGTACAGACTGAAACGAAATTTTCAGTATGAAGTTCCCGCTTGGAAATGGAAATTGCACAGGCAAACACATCTAGGAAAAAAACTTTAGCAGCAAGGCACAGAAACGCATTCAACAAAGAACACTAACTTACAGGATGCTTGGCTGAAAGTCTCCCAGTCACAGTTCCAGTCTGATTCCATGTAGACGAAATGGAGCCCTTGATCAGTTAAAAAGAATCAGTTTAAGCCATGGCAATACCATGCTGGGCTCTTCACTGTCAACACCCACACTCACTGCTTCTCTAGAGCCCAATGAGCTGCAGACTCTGAACTCTCACCTCTGAAATGTTCTTGGAGTTACGAAACTCCTGTCATGGGGTCAGGGATGGGTGAAGAAGGACATTTCCCTCTACCCCAAGTAGAAGCAGCAATAGAACTAGTAGGCCTTTATGTTATTTACAAATCCAGTGCACAGGACAGGTGGGGGATGATGCGCTATGGGTGATCTGACAAGTCAAGTTGGCACTGTGAGTCACTGACAGCCTCTGTTACTTGCTACGTAGCCCCAAACAACTCACAGAACATCTCTGATTACAGTCTCCATGTGTATGAGCTAAAACAATAACATCTATCTCAAATGGTTCCAGAAGACAGATACAATAATAACCGTGAAAGCAAGAGGTCAGCTACAGAGCTTCCTCTTAAATGGACAATCTAGAGGCATAATGCCAGCCTGCACTGTGTGGAGACCTGAATCATTCCAGAACCACAGTTCAAGAACCAGTTCTAAGAACACTAGACCATTTCATCATTCACTAGAATTATAAAAGTTCTATGTGTATCTAAACTCATCTATAAGCATATTCCTAGTCACCATTTCTTTGTTTAAAGCCTATTACCTGTTTCATGCATGCTAGTAATCCATCTACAAAGGTCGACTTGGTCTTGTGAACCTAAATTACAAAGACAAGAATAATCCTTTTGTTAAGTATTTAAACAAGAACAAGCACCAGAGCAGCACTTCACACGGGGCCAGGCATGTGTTGCTGGTCACCTCAGATGGCCTTAGGTGGTGCCAGGATTGAATAACAGTGGCCCTCAGAGAGAGATGCCATCCTTCCCTTTTAAAATAAATCTATTGTTCTGCAATAACTCTAACTTTACAGAAAAGTTGCAAAGATAAGCAGGTAAATAAATGCTCAGCCCAGTGTTCCCTGTGTGGGCCCTTTCTATATCTCACCCTTCAGGAGAAAGGGCTAACTAGTTCTAGTGTGCTCCCAAACCCAGAGAGCAGGCCATAGGCTCGATAAATAATAGGATAGTGGTCTGAGTGATGACAAAGTTTTCACTGTTGTTCCCAAAAAACAAAACCTGGGAAATGAAGGGCAGTTGTGTGAACAGAGAAAAGGTGAGTGCTAGAGGAGGAGAGTGGGGTGTGTCATTAACCCCCTGGTAAACATTACTAGTAAAAACAAAACCCTACTCTGGAGCTTGGAAGCCAGGAGGAGAGTGGGGGCTTTTGTGGATACTGGCAGAAGTCTCATTCACACTGAAGTCATGAGCAAGGACATGGCATCAGTCTTTTCAATTAATGACCCTTTGGTTCCCAGGGCTAGGCAGGGCTGACTGCAGACTTGAGTAAGATCATGTCAGGGTTCCAGGAAGTAGGGTTAACATAAGATCAACCTGAGAAACTAACCGTACCCGCTTCGGGCACTGTTAGGGCACTTTAGCAATGGAGATTTGTTAACAGAGACAGGGCCGGGCACTTCCCCTTCACCACAAACTCCTTACCAAAGTCAACTTACCTGCCTATATTCCAAAATTATCTTGGGTAAGGGATGAAGGTCTTGCAGAGAATTTAGCTTAAAAAATGAAAATACAGGATATAAAAGTTAACATTTAAAAAAAATCAATAGCTTTTCTATACACCAATAATGAACTAGCTGAGAAAGAAATCAGGAAAACAATTCCATTCACAATAGCTTAAAAAAAATAAAATACCTAGTAATCAACATAACCATGGAGGTGAAAAACCTCTACAGTGAAAATTACAGAACACTGAAGAAAGAAACTGAAAATAATACTAGAGGATGGAAAGTTCTCCTATATTCATAGATTGGCAGAATGAATATTGTTAAAACTGCCATTATTATCAAACTCAATCTACAGATTCAATGCAATCCCCATCAAGGTTCCAATATTATTCAGAAAACTAGAAAGATAACCCTAAAATTCATATGGAAACACAAAAGACCTAGAACAGCCAAAGCAATTGTATTACCCTTCTTATCGCTAGGACAAAATACCTGACACCCACAATTTAAAGGAGGAGAGTTTCACTTTGGCTCATGATTTCAGAGGGCTCAGTCCATGGTTAGCTGGCTCAAAGGCAGAATGGCATGGTGGAAGGGTATGGTGGAGAGAAGTGGCTTAACACACAGCAGCCGGGAAGCAGAGAGAGTAGAAAGAGCTAGAGAAAGAGAGGCCCCTCAAAGGCAGCCCCCAGTGATGCTCGTCCTCCACCTGACATCACTTCATAACACCACATTCAGCTCTGAAATCATCCATGGACTAATTCATTGATAATGAATCCAGTCACCTTCCAAAATCCCCACTTCCAACACATGAGACTTTGTGGGGACATTTTAGATCTAAACCTCAACAGCAATCCTGAGCCAAAAAAGCAATGCTGGCAGCATCATATCCTATTTTACAACATACTACAAAGCCATAACAGCTTGGTACTAGCACAAAAACAAACACGTAGACCATTGAAATCGAATAGAGAACAGAGAAACGAACCCATGCACTACAGCCATCTGATTCCTGATGAAGGGGTCAGAAATATACACTGGAGAAAAGCCAGCCTCTTTATCCATGGTGCTGGGAAAACTGGGCATCCAGTTGTAAAAGACTGAAATTATATCCTTATCTCTCACTCTACAAAAATCAATTCAAAACAGATCAAAGACCTGAAATGCAGTGGTGCACGCCTATAATCCCAGCACTTGAGAGGCTGAGGCAGGAGGATTACTGCAAGTTTGAGGTCGGCCAGGGCTGCATGGTGAGATCAAGGACAGCCTGTAGAAAATAGTAAGGCTCTGTCTCAAAAATTACCCCTCAGGGCTGGGGATTTAGCTCAGTGGTTCTGCCACCTGCCTCGCAAGTGCAAGGTCCTGCGTTTGATCCCAGGTACCAAAAAAAAAAAAAAAATTACCCCTCAAAAAAAAAATTCCCTAAAACTTTGAAACTGCCAGAATAAAACATAAAGGAAATATCTGAAGTTATGGCCAAAGGCGAAGATTTCCTGGATAGGAATTCAATAGCACAGGAAATAATAGCAAGAATCAACAAATGGAACTGCATCAAATAAAAAAGCTTTTGTACAGCAAAGGAAACAATTAACAGTGAAGAGGCAGCCCACAGAATGGGAGGAAATCTTTGCCAGCTAATCTTTAGAGAGAGAATTAATGTCAAAAATATGTAAAGAACTAAAAAACCTTAACACCCAAAACTCAAATAGACCAATCAACGAGTGAACAAGTGAACAGATGCTTCTCAAAAGGAGTACAAATGGTCAACATGAAAAATGTTCAACATGTTTTGCCATTAGGGAAACGCAAATAAAAAATACACTGAGATTCCATCTCATCACAGTCACAATGGCTAACATCAAAATACAGAAACAGATGAGCTGAGGTGGTGTCACACGCCTGTAATCCCAGCACTCAGGAGGCGGAGGCAGGAGGATCACTAAAAGTTTGAGGCCAGGTTGGGCTACACAGTGAGTTCAAGGCCAGCCTGGATTACATAGTGAGACCCTGTCTCAAAAAACCAAAAATGAAAAAAAGAACACAAAAACAACAAATGCTGGTGAGTATGCAGGAGAAAAAGGAACAGTCCTACATTGTTGATAGAAATGTAAATTAGTACAGGCACTATAGAAATCAGTATGGAAGTTCCTCAAAAAACTAAAACTAAAGGGCTGGGGATTTAGCTTAGTGGTTCTGCTGCCTGCTCTGCATGCGCAAGGACCTGAGTTCAATCTTCAGTACCAAAAAAACAAAAAAACGCCCCCTAAAACTAGAATTACCATGTGACCCTGTCATATGACTCCCTGGTATACAGCCAAAGGAATTAAGGCAGCATACTATAGGGATGCCTGCATATGCAAACTTATTGTGGCACAAGTCACAATAGCCAGGGTATGGAAGCAGCCTAGGTGCCCAGCAACAGGTGAGGAGACAAAGCAACCGTGGTATATATGAACAATGGAGTATGATGCCATCATAAATAAGAATGAAATGATGTCATTTTTGGGGAAATGACAGAAATGGAGATCATGTTAAGCAAAATAAACTAGACTCAGAACGACAAGTTTTACATATTTTCCCTAATATATGGAATCTAAACAAAAACAGATGACATGAAAGTAGAAAGAATACTATTATTAGAAAAGATGGAGAGAATAAGGCAGAGAGGAGAGGGAAATGCAAGAAAGAGTAATAGGGGATGTATATGATCAAAATATATGCACATAGGGCTGGGGATTTAGCTCAGTGGTCCCAGCGCCTGCCTTGTAAGCCCAAGGTCCCGTTCAACAACACTCAACATTTGGCTCACAGTTACCTGGGCAAAATTCCAAGGAGGTAGCGCTGGAAATTTTGTTGTTGTTGTTACATTCTTTCATTGGTACATTTTAGGTATATAACACAATTACATTTCTCACTGGGAACTTGTACCTTTACATGATGTATCTTGGTTCTTATTTTTTCCCCATTCCCCTGCCCACCTTTCCCTATTTACAAAGA